TAGCTTTCAAGTCTTATTTCTTCGTGTGCGCTCTGAGTGCTTTTTGTCTGCTATATATTGACGGTTCTCATGCTCAGACTGCTGATCCTAAGGGTGTTCATATAAACAGATGTTCCTCATATCCTGTCTGGGTTATTTTTCCCCCCTTCTTTATAGAAGTCATAATTCTACTGTATGTAGTGCTGTAGACATTTTCATGGTAGAAAGCCACAGTGTCTTTCATAAATGCTGTTTCCCATGATAGACCAAAAAGCGTGTGGATCCCATGGTGATGGATGTTCATTGGAGGCAGCCTGGGCTGCAGCAGCAGAAAACAGATACATGAGACACCAAGGCACTGTCTGATAGTTAACCTTAGGGAGAAACAACCTAAAATGTAAAAATGAACTTGCTAAGAGATATTTTACTCAGTAGGTTGGGGGGAAAACTGAAATTCTCTTCTGTAAAGGTTTTGATTGTTTGAGTTTTTTTACCTCGTGCTTCAGCTATTTCACTTTCAATTTGCTGAATTTCCTCTGCACACAGAACAATTATTTCTCTCATGTCTACATGATGGACCAGGAGGGGTTACCTAAAAGGGAGGCTTCTCCTTGGCTTCAGACCCTGAGGGTCTGCTGTGCAGGCTTGCTCTGAGAAGCTCAGGCTAATAACTGTGGGAAGAAGGGGTCTGAAAACTCCAAATCAAGAGATCATCATATTGAACAAGAATCACAGAACTCTCTCTGTGGAAGTGGGCTGAAGATTTATGGAGAACTTTTTTCTTTACTCTTGCAGCAGGTAGAGGAGTGATGGATTTTGTTTTAATCCAACCCAGTAGGATGAGAGAAAATGGAGTTATGTTGAACTGACTACAGAAAAAACATTCTCTGAGTTTGCTACAAATAGATAAAATGTTTCTCGCAGTTTGTAAAAATTACAGTGAAAAATGAACTACAACACAGAGACAGCATGACTTCTGTTTATAAATGTTTGTATTTCATGCTGAGAATTCCTTCAGCTAAGTAGATTCCTTTAAAAATATCTGAAGATTAGAAAATCTGACTCAAAAAAAAGTTGATTTAATGGATTAAATGTACAAGAATTAAATTCTTCTTCATACAGGACAGAGTGGAATTGCCCATTGGACAGCTGTTCATGCAGTAACCATGTCATTCTTGAGCCTGGTGCCCTCTGAACCCGTGCTCACGAGTGGACACTGTATTTTGCAAACTGGTCATTAACACTTGGCTTTGTCACCCTGGAAGGGTGAGCCATACCGTGAGCTAAGCCCACTGCAGGATTAACAAGTGTTTTTACTAGCCTATTTATTTCAGTAATCCAGGTTCTCAAACAGCAGGTGGGGGAAAAAAAAAACCAAAACAACAAAATATTAACATTGTATCATTTTTCTGAGCTATTGACCAAATCACGTGTTCTGATCTTTAGTAATACGTTTTCACTAACTTGTCATTCATTTTCTCTCTTTCCTTCATCCTTCTCCCCATTTAATACCAAGCACCTCTGCTTGTATCAATTTTGCACATTGTTCTTCTGATGTTCTCCTCATAAACATTGGCTATTTCCTCAAGCTCTATTAGTAGGATGTTACAGAAGCTAAGCAGCATGGACTATAATATATCCAGTACTTTTACACTGTGTGTCAAAACTGGTCACAGATAGCTGTTAAAATCATTAGCCTTACATGTCTTACCTCCACTGGAATAGATGGCAGTGGTTTCATTAGCTGTGATGAGGAGATACCTGATCATCTGCCTATTTTCAAATATGTCATGGGGTCACAGCAGGAGACCTCTTCCAGAAAGGTTCGGATCACAGCCCAAGCCCTGAGTGCACACCTGGGGGTTTCGGTAGGATGTGAAACAGAAGGTTCAGCTACCCAGAAATCCTCTCTATAAATAGTAGTGAGGGATATGTGGAGTGCTCTGCTGTGCTAGAAGATGCCCCTTTAATGTGGAAAATGCAATGAGAGAGGAACCGACCTTCTTGAGAACCTGTATTTGGGAGGTGCCAAGCACCTGAGAACGTGATGCTGAGTAGTGAATTGCTTTATCAATATTTTGACAGAGATGGAGCCTCCATGGAAGGAGAAAAGTACAGAGTAGAGGTAGCTTTGTGCCTCTGGTTTATTTTGAAGGATTTCCAGTCATTCTAACAATCTCACCATCTCCTGGCATCTCTCGGTGTGCGCTGACGATCTTTGTGCTTCAGCAAGATCAAACCATTGAGGGCAGAGCTGGCCAGTTGTGTTGGCAGCTCTCAGTGCAAGGGGAACCTGACGAGGATCCTGTCTCAAAGCAAAGTGAATTCAGGACCCACAAGGAACATTATGCACAGTTGAATATTGAAGTGTTTGTCTCTGTTCAGGAGTTTATCGAAACACTGTTGAATTGTATCTTCAGCCTGAACTAGCAACATCTATTGTGCTGAATAGAAGACCCTTGATGGTTCTGAGCTACTTATCTGTGTTTGTTCTCTTCAAAAATGTTTTTTTAGCATAGTCACTTCTTAGAGCTGAGCAGCACCAGACAAGGAAGCCAGTGTGCACTTTGCTGAAGGAACAGTGATCCTTGCTTGAGGGTCCAGTGGTCACTGACAAATGTGTGCAACCCCCTTCTGCACCGGGCAGTCGTGGTTATCCCTGTTCTTGAGTAAGGAACTAAAAAAAATGTGAATTTCAAGTGGCTTTCCAAGCCATAGACGCTCCATGACACTGTTTTGTCTGTACTGTAAGGTCTGGCTCACCCTTTGAATTGATATGTTCAGACTGGCATTCCAAAGCTGAAGGAACAACTGGGACCTTCCAGAGATCAGAAAATTACATAGATTAATAAAGTATTTAGTTTACAATTAACACATGAAAACACAATGTGTATTTCTATTACTTGACACAAGCAAGATGTCATGTGGAGGAAATAAATCTCTGACAAGATTACACTATTTTTTTTTTAATTTTGGATTTCCACTTCAGAAGACACTTTTCATTTAAGGCTACAATATAAATTTTTTTTTAATGTATCTTGAGATTCAATCACTGTTTTCCTTTTTGACGTGCTTTGCTTATTACACTCCCCCAATAACGCCAGAGTGTTTGTCTTCTGAAACTTTTTCCCAACCTGTGAAAAAAATGTATGTCTTTGTGTATATAATGGATATGAGCTCTCTTTTAAATCTGCAGAGGAGGTGGAGATGGAAAACGTGGTGCCAATGAGCTCCTTCCTCAGTAGGGTCTGTGCCTGTAGGTGACCCTGTCCATCCTGATCCTGCCTGCCAGCAGATGGTACCAGCACAGGGACTGGACCTGTCCAGGGAAAAGACACAAGTCCATTCCAGCTCAGGGGAGCAGAGGAGGTCAGGGACACATTCTCACAGGTTTTAGTAAGCAAAAAAAATTGTCAATGTTTCATCATTATAATCCTCTCCACTTCTGGCTACTATGTTTTGCAGTAGTCTCACCCCAAGTCTGTTATGTATTTTCACATTTTTTTGACACCTCAAAGTGAAAACTGACTTTTCTCTTTTCTCCACTTTAGAGAAAAATTCAGAAAACACTCTGCACAAAAAAATGCCTAAGATGATATTCTTCTGCATAATTTTCAGCGATCTGCAGATTTGTGTCACATGATGGCTGTTAAAGCCTGCATTCAAAACCTTTCTGCAGAGAGCATGCTCAGGTTGTGATATGGTTAAATGCTAACTAAAAATTAAGAACATTTTGAATATCTGCTTGAGAAATTTAATTATGTCATGATTTGAAATTTGTAGACTTCAGTATCTGTAAGAATGCTACTTAATTTCCTGGAAATGCTATTAGACTTATGCTCCGATCAGCTGGAATATTTTATTCATAATCATGTGGCACTCAGTGCCCATAATTAACAATTGTGTGTCAATTTGTCAAGCACCATAAAAGACAAATGGGAAGGCAAACTGTACTCTCACTTTTGCCTTTTCAGCAAATATTTTTCATTATAAATCCCATTTTCTAGAGGAGTTCCTGAGATTACTTTGGTATTTTAGTCATTTAAAAACAAACAGTAGTCGGTTTGCAATTACATGCATTCCTGACTGGAAACGCTTCTGGATACAGTATTGCAGTTTATCTTATTGTCTGTCAGTAGCAGAGAGGAATGTTCCTTCTGTAGGCTGTCAGAAATATCTGGCAGGTAACTAAATTGTCCTTTTCAGTTTCGGGTAGATGCTGATCTAGTGTGTTGCCTCTGCTCCTGGTCTGTCACACACAGCACTGCAAGGTGCTCAATTCCTCAGAAAATCAGGGTCTGCTCCCTTTGTCTTTCTTTTCCTCTTTTCTCTTTCATTACTCTGTTCATTCCCAGTGATGATAACCATGTTAGTGAGGGTAAGACATGCTCATTTTATTAATTTCTGAGGACCTTGATAGTAAATTACCAGCAGGCATCTGAAGGATGATAGTTCAAATGAACAAACAAAATAAATCGATGGTTCTTGCACACTCCTTGGTAGTGGCTGTCACCACACCACTTTTCTTCAGAAGGCAAAAAACTCCTGTTCTGTGTAGGCAGAAATCAGACTTCAACAGAGGCAAGTATTGATAGGGTTAAGGCATTTATTCTTGTATGCTTCACTAGACAGTCTGGATTCCTGTCCTGCCACTGAATCTGCCCATCTCAATAAACATCTGTGGTTTCTGTAGAGTTCTGTAGGTACAGGTTTGTAAGCAGAGTTTAGCAATTTTTTGTATTCATTTTCTATACCTATCCTATTTTTTTGTCAGAAATCCCAGTACAGAAATGCTGGCTTAGAAGCAGGGATTCATTTTTCCTTATTTATAGTAGGTAATACTCCTATAGGACCTATGCACATAACAAATGCAAACAAACAAACAAAACCTCCTGAAATGGTGAAAGTTAAGTAGTTTTTGCATTTTCTAGCATTATGGAGTTTTGGTTTTCTGGGGATCTTTTTCCATTTTTTTTTTTTACTTACTTGTGTTCATTGGTTATCCCATAAAACTTCCAGTCACAGTTGTTGCTGGTCACCAGGCACAGTGCCATGATATGGACAGACTGACAGGTCTGCTTTCACAGACAAGACTAATATCATGCTAAACCTGACTGGTGACCCTCTATAACTATTTTTCATGCCTATAGAAAAAAAAATACGGAAGAACCTATTTTAGAGGGGGGAAAAAAGGTGGAAATTCTTTTTGCTATTTGAGTGCCTTGAAAGTGGGGCTTAAGACATAGGAAGTCATAGAATTTAAATCATAGCAATGGCAGACCAAGGAATTTATGTGGGTCATCTGGGATTTGTTTTTTTACTACATTTAAGTTTTATGTATGACCTGTAATCACTTGCTGGGGCAAAAAGCAAATGCAACAGAAGGGGCAGGAGGATGTGAGCAAATCATGCTTGACTGTGAAATGGTGCACCTCAACCCTGCTTTGAAAGAACCACTTCCTGGGCAGGGAGTAACCATGATTGCAAGCCTCCCTCTGACTATGGGAGCCTTTTGAAAATGCTGTTACATAAATGCTATATTTTGGCTCATTCTGTGGATCCTTTTCTCACTAGGAACTGTACTAAAACTTCTAAGAGGTTTATGAAACGGGTATTAGACATAAATGTTTTTTTCTAAATGGGATTAAGTCCAAGATTCAGTCTTTAAAGTTCCCTTACATTTCTTAAACTACCACAGTCCATTTCCCATGTGTCTATACCCACATTTATTTTCTTAACACTCTTAAAATTATTGGTGCAAACTTGACTTTTCTTATTGATCTCTCTTTTTTTGATCATTCTGGTGTACTTCCCCTTCTGTTTCAAATGTCTTTGACTTTTCTACTCTCTCTTTTGCTTTTCATATAGAATTTAAATGCTGTGCCAACAAAGCACTGAAGTAAAAGCTTATATTTTGATGTGATGATATTCCCCAGTGCATTTGACCCACCATTCACAATAAAGCCTTACTCCTTGCTGGATGACTCATATCAGGAAGTAACTTTTAATGGATGTTTTTTGTGCAAATATCCTATGCCACCTCCATATTAAAGAGATCAGTTGTTTATGAGAGAACTCTGGCCTATATCTTTCAATAGGGAAGTTTGTCAGTGTAGTACTACAGTTGAGATTTAAATAATTTTGCCTGGAAATCTTTTGGAGCATCCCCCACTGCCACTGTAATCATGTCTCTTTTTATGCTTCTGGTGATGGATCCATGTATTTTAGCTGGATCTTAGGAGAACTATGCAGTTATAGATACTAAAGGTGAACTTCAGAGTGTTCTAGTTTAAAGATAGGCCAGGGTGGTAGCTGTGAGGTGCCCTAAACATCTGGCAGCAGGGCAGATGACCACATAGTGGTTTAATTCCACCTCACAATGTAAGTGGACTTCATCATGTAAAATACAAATAGCACTTATCAAACCCCTCTGATATGGAGGTTTTCCCCTTTTAGAAAATAATTTCTCTTTGCCTAAGATTTAGAAAAGGACGTTGGAAACTAGGTCTTAGCATCTTATTTCAGAAGTGAGATGAAAGAACAGATTTGGGCTAGAGGGCTTGAACCCTCTCTTGGCACACAGTTTAGGAACATACAGTCTCTTGACAGAGGTGTCATCTTAGAAATGTTTGAGGTTTTTTCCTTCCACTTTTCCCATTGGAAGGCTGATTCCAAATCCAGTTAAAGGCTAGGAACTTTATTTGCATTCTGAGCCTAAATATATTCAGGAACAACCTTTATCCATTTGTTTTGTGACACCATTACCTTTTATCTTGAATAGTTCTTTATTAATAATTAATAGGGTATTAATTAATATTTAATAGAGAGCAAACACATCCTCCCTTACCTTTCCCCTTAGCTGTTTCACTTCATTTTGCTAGACTAAACAATCTAAGCTCCTCTAATCTCCCTTGAAGAAAAGAAAGCTCTCTCCAAAATGATTTTTGCAGACATTTTCTACACCTGGTCTATTTTCATTTTATGATGGCCAAACTCCAGCTTGCAAAATGCATGTGGCTCATGAGCTCTTACAATGTGTCTCTTTTGCTGATTATTCAGTGTTAGTGCTGCTGCCCAAAATACAAGTGAAGTGTATTGCCAGCACTGCAAGGTAAGAAAATGGAATAAATAGGCACAGGATCAATGCACAATGCCCTGGTACATGTGATGCTTCTAGTATTAAGAAGCAGCTTCCAACTCTTCTGTGTATTCCACAGTGTTGGCAGGACCAAGGATGCAGGAACAAGGTAGGACATGATATTTCACTGGGGAGATGTGCAAAAGTGGGGAGGCTGATAAGGCGGGAGCAATAATTTTTAGAGAGGTGCAGGGCACAATAGTGAAGGTGAGGAGGATCCATCCTTTGGGCTCCAACCATTTTGCAATGGTCTTAGGGACCATTGCTCAGATGAAATGTTAATGCAGGTGGTCTGGAGCCCAGCTGTCCTGTTAGCTTTATCACCCTACGTGTGTCTCTGTGGCAGGCTGCAGTAGCACCTGAGCCATGTGAACACACCAGCCGCAGTGCTGGGATGCTGCTTTAGCATGAGATTCTACCTGGGCTGGTTAGCCCTTCTCACACAGCCAGGCTGCTCCAGCATCAAGGCTGGCACTTAGGTTCAGCCTGACTCTGGATATCATGGCCAGGCATAGTAGGCTTAGAGGATTGGCATATAAACAGCAGAAAAATCTCCCAGAGTCTGGAGTGTTTGTCAGGTACGTAAATATCTCAGATTATTTTTCCCTAAATTATCCCTATGGGGATCGTTTATGCAGCAGTTTTATAACTAGTTTTTGCATAAAATATAGTCCTGGTACTCAGGTTATCTTTTATGTAGTCAAACATTTTATTGTTTGCATGCTAATCTAAACTCTTCATCACTGAATGCCTTCAGCAGCCGTAGTCTGGTTTTCCTATGGCGCTTTGCTTTGGAAAAGAAAATGAATGTGTCTGCTTCTCCTAATCATAAATTCAGTCTCCTGTTTCTTTGTTATAATTCTTTTGATGTGAACAAAACTCCAAAGCCATTTTTTTGTGAAATTTAAAAAGCTGGTATGCTTAAGAATGCATATGTGCTAACAATGAACCCTCTTCGTCTGGATGTTTAGTAAAAGCTGGGGCAACGTCTATGTTGAAAGAGTTCTTTCAGTTTTAATACTTTACTCTTGATTGTGCCTGAGATACCATTTCCAGCCTTGAAGTAAGTACAGGATTTATTGTTCCAAAGTGGTACAGTGATAAGAGCAGACGTCTAGTTTACTTTGTTTGGGAGCCTCTTTTTAATGTCTCTTAGAAAAGTATAACTGTGGTAGAGGAGCCCAGATGACAAAGGGAGCCTGAGTAACCTAGGATTTCCAGTTTGCTGGAGTATGTTGGGGTGTACCAAAGTTTAGGATGTAAGTCTGTCTCACTGCAGAGTTCATGAAGTCGTGGCAATGAAGATTAACACTCCTGATAAGGCACACCCACCCTGTAATGTGAGGGCTAAAACACATCTCAAAGTGCTTGACATGCAGGTCTCATTTTATCTGCATCTATATATGTGCTGTATGTATAGCACTACACATTCCTTGGTTTTGTCAGCACAGATATCCAAACTCAGTTGCCACCTGCTTGCATTTGATTACAGCTCCCAAACCAACCTGTGCTTAATTTACCACCATTTGAAGCTTTCATGCCCTCAGGGTTAGGAATGGCTGGCTGCTTCCTGGCCAGTGAGAAGCGAGATCCTTGCACCCACAGACCTCAGCTCTTGGTTTGAGGTGAGAAGCAGCAGGTCACTGATACAGTGTCACAGTAAGGATTGTTTGGATCCAAACCATTTCTTTCCACTGAGTCAATTGTAGGAGGGATGCTGAAGATAAAATAATAGTAATTTTCATATGCAGGCTAAAATGAGCAAGGCAGGTGCTCTTCTGCAGAGGCTGTGCCCAATGAATGCCTCAGGGAGTAAGAAAGGGACTTCACTGTGGTACAAGACACCTTTGGGGCCAGAAGCCTCAGCCACAGCAGCTTTCATAGCCTGGTAGTAATCCAAGACCAAAATGTATCTGCACCTCTAATTTGGGGGGTTTTTTTCCCCATATTTTCCTCTGTTTTTTTCTTCCTACAAAGATTAAATTCAAGATTAAAAAAAATCAAATCTCTGCTGTAGGATGATACCTGGAACAATAATTGGATCAAATGAATAATGTGCATTTTTACTCATAGTCTGAAGTGTCCTAGTTTGTGTGATGGATTAATCACCGTTTCCTTGTGAATTATGTCATCACTTTCAAAATGATATCTTAGTTTCCATAGAGTGGCTGAAGCCATAGACAGCTGCCTTATTAACTGCTTGTTCATATCAGCTCTATGAAACTAGAGTTTTAGTTAGTTGTAATGGTTAAAGAAGGTGGGGAAAAAATTCCCAGGAGGTCACAGTTTACATGAAATAACAAGTTTCATCAAGATGCAGTTGTCAATTTTAAATTGTGTGTTGCCAGTTTGTGTCTGAGGCATGCTGAACAAAGTAATCAGGGTCACAGTTAATCAGGACATACCTGATTCCCCCTCAAAACCAGGGAAGCCCAGTGGTGGCAGATACAGGATAGTATTTCAGCTGTATCCTATATTTAAAGAAAAAACACCTGGGAGCAATAGTTACTAGCATTAGTGACATTCAGCCAACTTATGCAGCATTTTGGGCTCCATTATAAATAGGAAAAAATCACAGTTCACGAAATGTAGGGACCAAATTTTTTTATAATGAGTTATCCATTTGCCAAATTTTTTTTAGGCTTTAAATGACCATATTGCAAAACTGGATGATTTCAGATTAGGATAATTACCATGTGGGTTTCAGGAGGTAGGGGAAAAACAGGACTTTTGCAACTTGTTCCCAAAGACACCTTTGATAGGAGAAGGGAAAAGGGAAACACCCTAAAGAGAGATGGATGGATGGATGGATGGATGGATGGATGGATGGAAGGAAGGAAGGGGAGTAAATACTATTAAATGTTTGCTTTAGTAAAGGTGTTTGTTTGTGCTTTCTGGGGTGTAATAAATATTGTCCAAAGTGCAAAATGTGCAATTCTGTAAGACAGACTCAAAACACTACAATCAAATCCTCCAGCCTGCTGAGAGTGTTCAGCCTACCATAATTTAGAGTTTGTCATTAATAACTGGCACGCTTTGCAGACATATTTCTTATTCCATCATGCATTAGAAATTTTAATCAAATTGGTCTTAGCATGCTAAAAGCATGATCATTTGCCAGGAAATTTCATTGGTCAGGAATAAATACATTGAGAAATAATAATAATTCTGAATGCTGAAAGTCAACTTTAAACTTTCTTTTATATTTACAGGTTTCCATCATCTTTGTGTAGGGCTGTGATGTGTAAACTCTTTTCCCAGCACAAATTTGGGTTATAAATCTAAGTCTCCAATATCATGTTCCATCATAAATAAAAAGAAATCAAATTTGTTGAGTCAGCTTTTTATTATTTCTTTTTTTTTTTCCCAGTTCAGAATCAACTTCTGATTTTTGATTTATTAGATTATTCCATTGACTGCCGACTGAAAGGCTAATGCAGGAACAGCCTCACTGGGTCAGATCAAAAGTTGGTCTAACTCAATACTTGGGTCTTCAGCTCTGAAATTAAAGCCTAGGAAAGAGTCCAAGAGGACAGGCAGGTATAGCTATTTCCAAGAAATACTTTGTACTGCTTCATTTCATTGCTCAAAGATTACCTGAGCCAGAGGTGATAGCCCTTGAAAGATTCCTGATACCTCTGAATCGGTCCTGTCATCTTTTCAGGGCATGTAAACATCTAGCAGGTACAGCTTCCCATGGCAAGGACTTGCACACAGTTGTATGATGTGCTATATGAAGAACCACATCTTTTTGCTGGTTCTGTAGCATGCTAGTTTCATGTGATATGCTCCTGTTCTTCGCTGTATCTTCAGATAGGATGAACAGATTCCTTTCCATCCTCTTCATTCATCGGATGATTCTGTGAATGTCTGTCACATCCCATCCTTAGTCATTGCTTTCCCAGGCTGGAAATAACTCTGTGTAGTTATTTTCACCTGCAAACTGCTCCATACCATTGAGTGTGCTTGCCACCTTCCTTTTGGTCTGCTAAATTTTTCCACTTCTTTTTTGGGTAGAGAAACCAGGAGCTAAGGATGGAACTTTTGCAATGAGAGAATGATATTTCTGTTTGTTTTCCCTTCCTTTCCTAGTAATTTGCTTTATTGTTCTGGTTTAACACCAAACAGTATCTAGGCACTACACAGCTGCTCACTCACTTTCTCCTGGTGGGATAAGAAAGAGAATTAAAAGTATAAAGTGGGAAACCTCATGGGTTGACTTTAACAGGTAAAGCCAAAGCCACACACAAAAAGCAAAGCAGAAAAAGGATTCCGTTCACCGTTTCCCACGGGCAGGCACACAGGTGTTCAGTCATCTCCAGGAAAGTAGGACTCAATCATAGATAAAGTGACTTGGGAAAACAAAGACCATAACTCTGAATGCTCTTCTCCTTCCTCCTTCTTCACTCAGCTTTGTATGCTGAGCATGATGACATATGGTCTGGAGTATCCCTTTGATCAGTTGTGGTCAGCTCTCCAGGCTGTGTCCCTTCCCAGCTCTTGTGCACCCCAGGTCCTCTCTGGTGTGGTGGGGTGGGAGGCAGAAAGGGCCCTGACTCCGTGTCAGCCCTGCACAGCTGTGACAAACACATCCCTGTGTTACCAACACTGTTTTGGTCACAAATCCAAAACACAGCTCCATACCAGCTACAGTGAAGAAAATTAACTCTATCTCAGCAAAACCCAGCACATTTACTTTCATGAGCGCTGAGCTGAGCTGTTTGAAGGGCTGACTGTTGTGACTCTGAAATCTCATTTGTGCCTGATGATAGCCTACAGCAGACTTTATCACCCTGTGTAAAAAGTCATTGTTGTTGGTTTTTTTCCACGTCCAAGACTCTCAAATTACATGTTTTCAGTTTTACCTGCTATTTAACTGCTTGGGTTCTGAGCTACAAAGAATGCAGTGGTATTGGTGGTGTAGAAACAAGAGGGTGCTCTTGGAGCAAATCTGATTGTCTCTACTTAACATGCATTGTACACACAGTTTGAAGTTTGAATCATGTGTGGTCTTCATCAGCAACTATTTTACTGTACACATCTGCTCCTGTTGATCCTTGGTTCTTCCTAGTTTTAACATGGCATCAAGCCTTACTGCAGTACCTCACC